TTAATAATTGTCTACCATAGCGGAGTCAATTAGCAAGTACCGATGGTGTAAAAAGGTCAGATTGTTTGTTTTAATCCCCAGTGGGATAAAACCTTCTTGGTATTTGAGTAATTTGTAGTTTCACGAATAACCGTTGAAGTAGAAATTTATTTGTTGCAGAAAATTTGTGCTAGATCTGCCAACATTTTCGGAACAATATTAAATAAATAATAGAAACAGTCAGAAGAATGGTAAATCGGAATGAATGACTAAAATATCTCGTAGTGAAATTTAGCTTCATATATATGCGTGACTTATATATGTGTGATTTACCTTATATATATATGATTTATAACATAATGTTGTGATACAATCTAAATGAATACAAAAACAAAGTTTCGTAAAACGGATACGAACGATGCATTGATAAAGGGCTAATAAGCATAATAGCGAAAAAATTAGTAAATGAGCTAACAATTTTTTTCTTCAGAGGATTCTTTCAACGTGAATATATGTGCTTGAATTAAAATGAAGAAATGATTCAGGGAAAATTTCTCCTAAACATGTTATGATGTAAAAGTTAATTGTAATTTATATGTTTTCTCGCAATAGAAGGAAGTGGAAGAAAGAGTGAGATTTGGGAATAAAATTCTCTGTCACTTTGAAAATAATTAATTATGTGAAAAATGGTTAAGGGAAAACTAATTTTCCTCTTCAAAGAACTCTTTCAAAAATATTGTTCAAGATAAGCGCTAAAGTGCAGAAATTTTCTACCACCCGCAAGTCTGATATTCTATGAGTTTTTGTTTTTGCACTGTAATCTTCCTCCATTTCTTCCATAAATTTTCGATACTTTAATTCTTCAAAAAAGCGATATAAAAATATGGTCCGTGGGGAAAAGCATCGAGGTTATTGTCCAGCTTAACAAGCATTCGTACTAAATCCTAAATTTTCACACTAAATATTAAACGTGTGATAAAAGCAGAAAGAATTAATATATTTTGCCATAAAAATTTTATTTTGAAATCATTTTCAGCCTCGAATAAAATACGAAAGCTTCGATTGGAAGACCAATTCCTCGTGAGATTAAATTGGTCTGTATTAGAATCATTAATCTGAATAAATGGATATTTTTGCGATTAAATCTTATTTCTGATGTTTATTTTCAATGATCTCATCTTCCCACACTATTTTCCTCTTATTGGAAGATAAATTATCGTTTAAAATATGAAATGAATCATAAATGTCACAAAAAACAAAAAATCATTTTCGTATTTATTAAGACAAATTATCAGCATTCGTGATACTGTAAATTTATGGTACTATATATAATGAATAATTAAGGAAAATTGGCAATTTTAATTTTTTAAGTCTAATCATTTTAATTTCCGCGAATTTTTTGAAATTTAAGATTCAACTTACTTCTATTCTGATAAATTGGGCAACTGAAACTTTAAGCTCAGTTCTTTTTTGACTGAGTAATAAATTGGGCAGCTCAAAGATTAAACTTGTATATTAAAATTTCAAATAATGCTTCAACTCACATATGCCAAATTGGTTCATATAGCTATGGAACTATTTCTCAACCGAAAAATTTTTAACTTACTGAAATTTTAAATATAAACAAATAGCATGTTGAACTTAAAGATTTTTGAAACACAAAAAGAGTAATAAAGAACTAAATTGTTCAAACTCTGAAATTTTTTGGAAATTTTAAAATGAAACATTGTTTTTCAGCCACAAATAATTCCAGAGTAAGATAGAATTCAGGAAAAATATTAACCTCAAGGATAAAATTGAGCTGAAATTTGATATGCATTAATCAGAAATACTCCAAACCATCCTAAATCCTTGATATTATTCAAGAAAGCATTGTTTGACAGAGTTAAGAAGCTTCAAAAAACATTGTTCACAAACGGAATACTTGCTGATATTTCAAAACTGGAACAATTTCTCAAAATCCGACTTGTCCACAGGTCGATATACAATCAGCTAACGAATGGAAATTATTGAGATTGCCACCACAACCTGTATATTCGAATGATACGCATTGATTCTGCAACGGAAAATCAAACATTCAGTAATAAATGATCAGAGTAATTATTTTAATTACAGTTAATAGATCACTTGCAGGATATAATTTTTTTGAAAAACAACTAATATAATTCAAGAAAAATATTTACTTTATTTTACATAATATTTATATAATCTTTTCTTCTCCATCCAAGCATCAATTTTCCGAGTGAAAGCAAGATTGATGAATAATATGGATGACATAGCATTGGACCCTTTTTTTTACACCACTATTTCATATCGTAATGGTTTTTTTGGTTTGTTACGTCGAATATTTTTACTTCTGGTTTGTCACGTTGAGCATTTTCATTTTGATTTGTTACGTTGAGTATTTTCATTTTTAACCTATTTTCATTTTTGGTTTGTTATGTTTGAGTACTTTTACTTTTAGTTTGTTACGTTGAGTAGTTCTATTTTCGGTTTGTCATGTTGAGTATTTTTATTTTTGGTTTGTTATGTTGAGTGTATATTGCTTCCCTTTGCCTCTAAAGTATGTAAAATATTTGGAGCATTTTTGTAAGAATCAACAAACTTCTTGCAATTCTTAATTATGAGACATAAGGATAATTTTAGATTCATTGTAGTATTACGATAATATAAATGACCTGTTGTCGATCGAAGGCATAGCGTGTTTGATGTCCATTACAAGCGCCTCTGTCTATGGATAACAGGCATAGCTGTTCTGAAAAATATACTAAATTCAATGAAAGCATCAAAAGTTCCATCCATAACATAGGCTAGCAAAATAAAAAAATTATAAGTCAAAAAAGTGTGGAGAAAGTTGAAACCGAACTGAAAACCATTCATTGTTTTTTGAGGAAAAGATTTAAAATTAATATTTCATTGAGGTTAAAAATGATTAAATAAAGTGGAGAAATTTTCTTGATTGGAAGCTGAAAATTAATTTCCAAATAAATTGAAATAACTAAATATGACTACAAAATTTGCATGCATCATGCGCAGCCATGCAAACAAGTTTGAAATGCTAATGGCATGTCAAAATTTATAATTTTGTGACCAAAAATAAATCTCAGAGATAGCAAATCTCAATTTTAATTATGCTTCTAATAAAAGAAATCACATGATAACAAAAAATGACACAAATTAAATTGAATAGATGAATATTAAAAAATGAAATAGGCCAATATTAACAAGCTCTAAAGTTTGTTAAATTCTAGAACGAAAAGACACTTAACTGTAAAATACATCTCTCGAACTGAATAAGTTACTTATTAAACATTGTGCTGCACAAATATTAGTTTGCGTATTTTTTTAATTTGCAAGTATTAATGCTGAAAAAAGTGTCGATATGATGAAAAAACGAATAATCAAAAGAATTTTACAGAATTTTTTAGATCTTTTTATCGTTAGTAATTTTCATACTGGGGGACATTTCTGATTATTTTCATACATTTTTTATTCTAATAAAATCTTAAATCCGTATTTTTAAGTAAATTTTTTCTGATTTGTTCCATGACCGATGTTAAAATAGACAATATATTTCATCTAATGAAAATGAATTGTAAGATAAATTATTGAAGACATGTAAAAGAATGTAAAAACTCAAAATGGTGTAAATTTATTATATTTAGCACTTTGCGTTTTTAAAAAATCTGAAAATTTGTTGCATATTATTTCAGTAGGTATTGTCACACGATTTCAATAAATTAAGATAATTCGAATTTTCACCACATCGAAGGAATTTTGAATTGATTAATTCTGCACACTTTTTAACTCCTGAAATAATTTTTAATATAAGTACTTTTTTGAAAAATTTAGAAAAACATCATATTTAACTGACGTTAGTTTTTGCCCATTCTGTTAGCTTGCAGCTCAAAAATGAAAGCCATAAAATACCTGAAAAATTACTCCAAATAAAAAATTCTAAAATGAAATAATTCATCAATTTTTATGTTTCTAAAATTTGACGCTTCTAAATAGAAATATAAGCTAAATGTAATTCAGTATGCACAGTATTTTAAACTCACTCAAATCAGGGCAGCAAAAGCCAATGATACAATAAGATCTGTTGAAGAGCGAATGTAACTTTTAGTAAAAGCACTACTGATGTCGCAATGTACTATTTTTCCCGCCATTACAGGTGATATTTCTTTTATAAAATAACGTTTTAATCCTAAATTTAAATAGCTTAAAATTTTTTCAAAGTATCACAGAGGAACTTTCGCATCATAAGAAAGGTGTAATTTTCCTCAGCCTATTGCAGCCTATCTGCGACACGATGGCACCATTCTGTCATCTCTTTTATTTTTTGAAATATAGTTTAGCTGAACAAACTTTTTCATCTTTGTTCTTCGATTAGAAATTATTTTCATTTCCACTGATTATTCTGTAAATAAAAGTACGATATCGATTATGGTAATATTATCGTACTAAAATAAATTTCATCATCGATAACACATAAATCTGCTCAAATTTTTGCTCCATTAGAAAATCTTATTAAAAATTTGCATTATATAAAATTAAAAAAATATTTCTAAAATTACTGGAATTGGTTCATTCAGAAAAACGAATTGAGTAAATGAGAAATATTCTAGAGTGACGAATTTTAGTGAAACTTTACAAAAATTATTATTATGATGGAATGTTCGACAAACTGAATAAATAAAGCACAAATAATTCCTTTCATATGCCATTTAAAATTTCACTTTAATTCATTCGTTAAAATTCAGTAATGTTTAAATTTAATTCATTAACATAAATGATATTTGCATTCATTGTTACAAAAAATTTAATTTCATTTTTAGATCTGTTTGCATTATTCCGCTAGATAAATAAAATATTTAAAACCAATATTTTATCAGAATTCTACCTTTGAAATCATTATTCCGAATTTCACACATCACTTAAAATTTCCATTTTCCATTTTGATTCCACAAAATCGAACCTGTACGATTTGGAGAGCGGTACTTTCTATGATTTTTTTTTTGCTATTTCCAAGTGAACAAAAATAGCCGGTATTGCAAGCATTTAGCTTCAGCTGATTGCTTTTCTTTCCCATCTTGCGCAAACTTTCCAACAGATGGATAATTTCCCAAATACTGAAACAAAACCCCACCCTCTGAAATGACACTCCAAATGAATGCGCCAAATTTTCTTCAAATTATTCAAATTAATTTTCAATCAAATACATTTGAAATATTACAAAATGAGTTTGTGTGTATATGTGTGTGTATGTGTGT